ATAACAGTAGCAAAATTACAGTTATGAAGTAGCAACAAAAATAATCTTATGGTTGAGGGTCACCACAACGTGAGGAACTGTGTTAAAGGGCTGCAGTGTTAGGAAGGTTGAGAACCACTGGCCTAGAGGGACGCATCAGGTGAGGCAGCTGGAGCAGCAAGATGAGGGGTCACATTGTGAACCACAAGCAGAGAGAGAGCACTCCAGTGACAGACACTTCCTCCAGCAAAGTCACACCTCCTAAACCTCCAATCAGCACCATCAACTGGGGACCAAGTGTTTAAATGCCTCAGACCATGGGGGACATCTCTTTCACTACCACAAGAGTAGTCTGTCAAAAGGTTTTAATACTTAAAATTTTGTTCCTGGGGATAAGGGCACTTTCTTATATAACCCATCCACGTCTTTCATGACCAGGAAGCTGTCTGACATCATTTAGTCTGTCCAGCTTAAGTTTTTGCTGACACTCCAATAGTGACAATGACAGGTCCTGGGTCTGGCTTCCTCAGTTACTAATGCCTCTGTAATGTCCTTCAGTCTGAACAGTTCTCCTTTTGTCTTTTGAACCCTGGCTTTCTTTTCCTTTTTTTTTTTTTTTTTTGGTTTTTCGAGACAGGGTTTCTCTGTTAACTTTGGAGGCTGCCCTGGAACTAGCTCTTGTAGACCAGGCTGGCCTCGAACTCACAGAGATCCGCCTGCCTCTGCCTCCCAAGTGCTGGGATTAAAGGCGTGCACCGCCAACGCCCGGCTCCTTCCTTTTCCTTTTATGGTTACTAGGAATCAAATGCTAGGCTAGGAGCCAGAGTGGCTCAGTGGTTAAGAACACTTGATTGCTCTCCCAGACATCCTGAGTTCAATTCCTAGCAACCATAACCATCTGTAATGGGATGAGATTCCTTCTTCTGGTGTGCATGAAGATAGCACTGATATACATAAAATACATGAGTAAATAAGTCTTTTAGAAAATGCTAGGTCAGTGAATTACATCCTGGCCATGACCTTGGCATTTTTGAAGAACTCAGATACTTTGCAGCAGAATGTTCCTTGATAAGGTGCCCTTGTCCCCCCCTCCCCCGTCTCTCTGTCTCTCTCTTTCTCTCTTTTTCTCCCTCCCTCTCCCTCCACTCTTTTTCCTCCTCTTCCCCCCCTCATTTGGGGTCATGGTCTTTCTTTGTAACCCTGGCTGTCCTGGAACTCACTATATAGACCAAACTTGTCTTGAACTCACAGAAATCCTGAGTGCTGTGATTTAAGGTATGTGCCACCATTTCTGCCCCCCCCCCCCCAGATTTTGTGTCAGATTTCCATGTGGCTTAGACATTTGTGCGCAGGTGAACCAATGCTGCTTTCAGGGCACATTCGGCATGTGATGCCATGCGACAGCTTGGGTTCCTGTTACTTGGTGAAGATACTGTTTGCCAGGTTCCCTGACCATACAGTTAGTATGTTGTACTCATTCATTAATAAGTGCTTATAGAGATACTGCATCAAACTTTATTACTGTTGTTTGCCAGGTTCCCTGACCATACAGTTAGTATGTTGTACTCATTCATTAATAAGTGCTTATAGAGATACTGCATCAAACTTTATTACTGTTGTTTTATTATGACCTCTGACTCTCTGATCCTCCTGCCTCTGCCTCCCCAGTGCTAAGATTTCAGCTGTGCACCACTGCCTGTACCTTATATAATGCCAGGGATTGAGTCCGGGAGTTGGTGCGTACAAAGCTTTGATTATTTTTAGTATCCATGATGATTATTACCACAACCAGGTATTTACTGTGGGAAAAGATGCACTAGTTGGCATTGCACAGTGGATAGAGCTGTTTCTGGTCACCTGGCTATTTACCTCAGAATACTGTTATTTTCTTCAGTGGGACTGTGCTTTGTTAGTGTGATTCATTTGGTGTGTGGGTGCATGTGTATGTGCATGGGTCTGTGTGCATGTATGCACATTCATGTGGAGGCCAGAGGTCTATCTTGGGTGCCATTCTTCTGGTTCCACCTTCCTTATTCATTCTTCTTTTCTTTAGCATTTATTTCTTTTTTATTTTATGCACATGAGTGTTTTGCCTACCACATTCATGCCTTGTGCCCATGGAGACCAGAAGAAGGTACTGGCTGCCCTGGAACTGGAGTTGAAGCTGTTTGTGAGCTCCCATGTGGTGCTGAATTAAATCCACGTCCCCTGGAAGAGCAGTCAACACTCTCAATGGCTAAGCCATCTCCCTGGATCTCAGCTTTGTGTTTTGGGACAGTCTCTCATTGGCCTAAAGCTTGTAGAGTATGCTAGGCTGGGCAGAGAGCTTCAGGGTCCCCATGCTGAGGTTACACGTGGGGTGGAACTCTCCAGGTGTTTGCGTCGTAAGCACTTTAGCGACCGAGCCACCTCCCCAGCTCCTTGTTTTGTTTCTCTACTTGACTATCAGGGGCTCCATAAGACTAGTTCCTTCTGGTTTGTCTTTTTGTTTTTCATGCCTTCGTCACTTTCTGGCTTGAGGCTTGTTTTCCCAACTTCGTCCATTTTTCTTAAGGAGCACTGCTGGCTCCTGTTAGTTCAGGACATTTTATCTGGGTACCAAGCGTGCTTCTTGTTCTTGTGAGGTGCCTTTGCTCCCAGACCCTCCCAGCATATGTATTTAGATGTATAATATACATTTGTAGTTGTTCTTGTTTATCTCTATGGTGTTAAAAACATGAGTTCACGTTGATGCTTCCAGTCCAGTTCAGAATTGGTTTGTTCCAGCCCCGCCCCTTCCACTATTTAGGATTCTTACCTCTGACAGGGAGACAACTGGCTCCCATTAGCTTCTGTATGTGTTTGCATAATGGCTCAGTTCCTTCAGTTTGCAGCCGACTTATTGCCATGCCAGTCAGTCATGTTGTTTTCTGTCTCTCTTGCCTGCCCTCTTGAAACCTTGCCTCGGAAGTAATCATTGTCTACACATTGGGGTGTGTAGACAGGAAAAGTGAGAGGGTAGGAGGCCAGTCAGAAAGGAAAAGTGAGAGGGTAGGAGGCCAGTCAGAAAGGAAAAGTGAGAGGGTAGGAGGCCAGTCAGAAAGGAAAAGTGAGAGGGTAGGAGGCCAGTCAGAAAGGAAAAGTGAGAGGGTAGGAGGCCAGTCAGAAAGGAAAAGTGAGAGGGTAGGAGGCCAGTCAGAAAGGAAAAGTGAGAGGGTAGGAGGCCAGTCAGAAAGGAAAAGTGAGAGGGTAGGAGGCCAGTCAGAAAGGAAAAGTGAGAGGGTAGGAGGCCAGTCAGAAAGGAAAAGTGAGAGGGTAGGAGGCCAGTCAGAAAGGAAAAGTGAGAGGGTAGGAGGCCAGTCAGAAAGGAAAAGTGAAAGGGTAGGAGGCCAGTCAGAAAGGAAAAGTGAGAGGGTAGGAGGCCAGTCAGAAAGGAAAAGTGAGAGGGTAGGAGGCCAGTCAGAAAGCATAACTTTGGCCCTTTCTCCATCCTCCGAGTGTTGCCTAAGGGCTCACCCTGAGCAGTGACTTGGGCGTAGGTCAGTTTGCTTCCTTATGTGAGATGTTGGCTACTGTGTGGAAACATAGACTACAGAAAACAAGAGAGAAGGTTTTTGAATTGGCGTGCCTTCAATGAACATACTTTGTGAGCTTTTGGGAGCTGTGTGTGTCAGTAATGGACTTACCTAAAATGTCTGAAAGCCGGTAGATTTGTTGTTGATCAGTTGACTGGGTATGTAAACTTGCCCAATGGACATAGACATAGTGACTTTTTTTAAAACTTGAGACAGGCTCTTACTGTGTAAGCATGGTTGTTGTGCAACTTATTATGTAGACAAGGCTAGCCTCTGCCTTTGCCTGACTCTGTCTCCTCAGTACCAGGATTAAAGGTGTGAGCTGTCACACCAGACCAAACACAGTCATCTAATAAAGTATTTTAAGAAATACAGAGTTGTCGGATGGTGGTGGCACACGCCTTTAATCCCAGCACTCAAGAAGCAGAGGCAGAGAGGCAGAGAGGGGGATCTCTGTGAGTTTGAGGCCAGCCCAGTCTATATAGTGCATTCTAGGACAGCCAGGGCTACACAGAGAAACCCTGTCTTGAAAAACTGGAAAAAAAAACCCAAAGTGTTCAAATAGGTGTTTATTTACTTTTACCCAATAATACTAGATGAATATTTGTCTGTGGTGATGAGTATCCTTTTTCATCTTAGTGTAGCTCTTCATTGTGCCCAATTTAGTGTGGTTTAATTGTTAAAGGACTGTGTTCAGTAACCCGTAAAACAAATGGTTAAATTGGTTTTGTGGGCCACTGTAGTTGGTGACAAATAGTGTCTTAGTATTGCGTTGCTGTGAAGAGACACTGTGACCATGGCAGCTCTTACAAAAGAAAACATGTAGCTGGGAATGGCTTACAGTCCAGAGATTTCGTCCTTTATCAGCATGTGGGAAGTATAGCAGCGAGCATGCAACCTAGTGCTGATGGGGTGGCTGACTGAGAGTTCTACCTCAGATCCACAGGCAGCAGCAAGAGAGACACCCCAAAGCCCACCCCCAGAGACACATTTCCTCCAGCAAGGTCACTCCTACTCCAGTGAGGTCACACTCCTAATCTCTGTCAAGTAGTGCCAGCCCTTAATGACAAAACATTCAAATCTGTGAGCCAGCGGGGCCATTCCCATTCAGACCACCACAGACAGTTTTGATGTAGTTTAAAAAGATTGTTATTTTAATGTTATGTGTATGGGTGTGCTGCCTGCATGTATGTGCGGCATATGCAAGCATTCCTGGTGCCCACAGAGGTCAGAAGAGGATGTCAGAGTCCAGAAATCTCCTGGACTAGAGTGGTTGTGAGCCACCATGTGTGTGGTTCTGGGCTGAACTCAGGTCCTCTGGAAGAGCAGGCAGTGAGGGCACTTACTGCTGAGCCTTCTCTCCAGCCCCATATATGTAAATCACTTGGGCTTATTAGCAGTTCACTCTACTAATACTCTTTCTCTGTTTCTCTCTCTCTCTTTCTTTCTTTTTTTTTTTTTTTTTAGATATTATGATCAAATTTGTTCCATTGAACCCAAGTTCCCATTTTCTGAAAATCAGGTAAGCTGTTAATTTTATTACAAAGTTGTGTGGTGATGGCAGGTGACACATTTCTCCCCACTTTTGGGTCCTGGTTCATTAAAGTCAATGATGTATCTTTACTGTGTTTAGGCTTCTGTAGAGTTTTACGTAAATTAGGACTTCAGAGGTCTGTCTAATGTGCATTTTTGTTCTGAAGATTCTCCTATATTCTCTTCATGTCTTCCTCAGTCCAGAGTGTAAATTTGTATTTTATACTAATGAGATTTGCTTATAGATGTAAATAATCTGCTGTTTTCCCCCTGGGCTTTATTTTTTTGAGGGGGTGGAGGGTTGAGACAGAGTCTGTTTACATAGCCCTGGCTCTCCTGGAACTTACTATATAAACTCAAAGAGATCCACCTGCTTCTGCTTCCGGAGTGCTGGAATTAAAGACATGTGCCGTCATGCTTAGCAATGTTTACAAAATTGAGAAGGAAATTATTAATTCGAGAACTATTCCGTTTAGTGTTTCCAAAATTATGGTACAAAATACACTTGTATTTTTAAGATACAAGAATGTCAGCCTTTCTTTGTCTTAAAGATAAGTTGTTGAAAATGCTCATAGTTTCTTATGGACAGAATCGAAGTCTTTACAATATGTGGTACTTCTAGATCTTAAAGTGGTAGAAAACTAGTACTTTGTGGGCCTGAAGAGATGGTTGACCATTAAGAATATGTACCTACTCTTGCATAGGTTCCCAACCATCTATAACTCCACATTTGGGGGTCCAGTACACTTTCCTGGACTCTGTGGGTCCTCCTTCTATCCCCTCCATATGAAAATAAAATTACTTTTAAATGCGCTTTATACATTTTTTCCCCTGAGACAGTGTTTTTTTGTGTGTAGCCCTGGTTGTCCTGCCTCTGCCTCCTGAGTGCTGGGATTAAAGGTGTGCGCCACTAGGAAGTGTGTCACACCAGACCAAACGTAGTCATTTTTTTAAAAAAAATTATTTATTTTTATTTTATGTGCACTGATGTTTTGCCTGCATTTTTGTCTGCACGAGGACATCCAGTCTCCAGGAACTGGAGTTACAGACAGTAGTGGGTGCTGGGAATTGAACCCTGGTCCTCTGGAAGGGCAGCCAGTGCTTTTAACCATAGAGCCAAATTCCCTTCCCCCAAACATAGTCATCTTAATAAAGTATTTTAAGAAATGCAAAGTTGTCTGGTGGTGGTAGCACATGCCTTTAATCCCAGGACAAGAAGCAGAGAGGCAGACAAATTTCTGTGAGTTCAAGGCCAGCCGGGTTTATAGAGTGAGTTCCAGGGAAGCCAGGGCTACACAGAGAAACCTCGTCTAGAAAACCCAAAACCCAACAGAAAGAACTAGGGAGAGATGTAGATCCATGTGTCGTGTCGTGTCATGTGTCGCCCCCTCCCTCATGACTCTCTGCCACCATATTGTGCTCGCAGCCCTCTTTCTGCATTTTATTTTGAGACAGGGCCTCACAAGTTGAGGCTTGCCTTCAGCTTACTCTGCAGTCCAAGCAGGCCTTGAACTTGTGATCCTTTTGTCTCAGCCTCCTGAGTAGTTGGGATTACAGGCCTGTACCACCAGGCCCAGCTAATTTTTCTTTTATTCCTCTCATTCATTCTAGATCTGCTTGACATTTACGTGGAAGGATGCTTTTGATAAAGGTTCCCTTTTTGGAGGATCTGTAAAATTGGGTATGTAATTTTTAATAAAAATTATAGGCTTGCATTTTTGCTGCTTTTGGATTTTAAAGTTGCTCTCATTTTTAAACTTCAATTTCTTTTTTTAATTGTTTATTTATTATGCATACAGTTTTTTTATCTGTGTACATGCTTGTACCCCAGGAGAGGGCATCAGACCTCATTATAGATGGTTGTGAGCCACCATGTGGTTGCTGGGAATTGAACTCAGGACCTCTGGAAGAATATGCAGTGCTCTTAACCTCTGAGCCATCTTTCCAGCCCAAACTTCAATTTCTAATCCAGTGTAATTTCAAAATATTTGCAGAGCCCATGCCTTGCCAGGCACTGTTCTAGTTACAAAGATGCATAAGGGAGTTTTGTTCAGTTTTGCTGTGAAGACAGTTAATTCACTGAAATGTACTATGTATGCATCTGTGTAGAATGTGCCATGGGATGATGCTCTGGTCCATGAGAGATACTTGTGTGATGGCGGCCACATATGATTGTTGTCTGGTGATATTGTACCCATCTTACTGTAACTACATGCTCAACAACACATGCTTACTGCTCATTTCTTAGGACATGTGGAAATCATTGAGGCTGGCTGTAAAATCTCATGGGAGTGTAGATGAGCAAGAGGTGAATCTGCTTGTAGAAAGTAAGCAGCAAGTTAGGTCTTGAGGGATGAGTTTGTATAAACATCAAAACCAAGGTCAGAAGGTGAAGGCACTTTGATCAGACAGTACATGCCTTAATTTCCTCATCTGAAAAATGGAAATATTTACTTCATGGAGTTACTGTGTAGGTTAAAAGAGTGAAAAACATTTAAAAGTCTTTAAACAGTGTTCATTAAGTATCAACTGCAATGAATAATAATTATGTTGTTGTTATATATAAACTATAGTATATTTGTATACATACATTTTTTGATGTCCATATTTTTATAAACATGTTATATGATGTATGAATGTTTTATATAGTAGATATATATATTATGTAAGATACAGCAGCCAGGCGTTGGTGGCGCACACCACACCTTTAATCCCAAATCTCTGAGTTCAAGACTAGCCTGGTTTACATAGGGAGTTCCAGGACAGCCAGGGATACACAGAGAAACGTTGTCTCAGAAACAAAAAAACAAGCAAAAAGATGCAGGATATATTAAAATCTTGTAAAGTATGTCAGTTAGTATACATACACAGACACACACACATATATATGTATATATAATATGTACATAGATATACTTAAGTAAATATATGTGTATACCTTAAGTATAGGTGAGAAAATAGGAATATTATAAAATATTTGTAATATATGTTCTATATAAGATGTGATCAATGTAATAATTATTGTCATGGCTTGAAACCATAGGTTGAATTGGATTTTGGAAGGTGATTGTAATGGAACATAGATTGTGAAGAGGTACAAATGTGCTCTTGAATTTGTACTTTCCCACTTACAATAGCCAGTCATTACTGTTACTCACCCAGGGCTTCATATGTATTATGTTACTGAATTCCCCAGGAACCCAGTAAGAGAAGACACTTGGATTGCTAGTTGGGTGTATTGGCTTGGAAAGGTTAAGTGACATGTGAAGGGTCCATAGCTAGGATTTAAAGGTGCTGAGATAGGAATTCAGAGAGCCTGCCTACAGGACTAGAGAAACAGACCATTTGAGAGCTGAGAAGGAGCCGAGGGTCTGCAATTTGACCTGTTGCATATTTAGTTTTCATAGGTTGAATTTGGCTTTTCGCTTATCTCCGTGTAAGCATTTCTCTGACATTTGGAAAATAGTAGATTTGAAGCTTAGAAGAGAAGAGAGAGTTCTAGATTTGGTAAAGTTACTCATTGATAAAAATTCATTCCCTTTTGACAGATTATAGGCAAAAGCAGATAAAAGCCAGAGCTAGGGTGAAGTTGAGAAAAAGCATTTGGACTGTAGAGGACCAGAAAAAAACATTCACTGTGGAAGTGAATTTTGCAGTGTTCTCAAGGTGATGCTGCCTGGTGGCCCTGACAGTTGGGGGACGTGTTAAAGGTGAATATGCAGTAGCGTGTGCCGGGTGCCACAGAAGGAAATGTGGGGTAGGTCACCTGAGTAACCCATCTGCAGCTGACGAGGGCTGGTGCAGGCTGAGGCGCTGACAATCAAGTGCAGTTTGGTAGGGGAACATCTGGAAGAAGCCAGATTGTGAGGTTGAGGCAGGGTGGTTGGAGGGTGTGTGTAAGGAACTGTAAGCTGTGAGTGTAGCTTTCTTGTGTTGGGGAATTTACAGGAAGGTTTGAGGGCCAAGGCAGCACTATGGAGAGGTGGAGAAAAGGATTTTTAGTACTGTTGTGACTTGACTGATTGGCAGCTCAGAGTCAGGAGCCAATGGCAGGAGACAGGGAACGCATGAGTGAGAGGGTGGAGGGAGAGGCCCAGATCCACAAGTGGGAAGCTAAAAGAGTAGAGCGTAGCTAAATACAGGAGGGACAAGGTCTCACTAGGTAGCCCTGGCTAGCCTGTGTTGGCCAGGCTATGTAGTAAACTTAGGGTTGTTTCTAGTAGCAAACATTAGAAATTGAATGTCCATCAACAGTGTCTTACTGCACACTTGCTAGACTCTGGTGTTGTTTTAGAAGAGTAGATCATCACTCTGACATGTATGTGGTAACATGTTAATTTGTGCCCATGGAATACTGAATTCAGCAGTCTGCATCATTCAACTGTAGGGCCCTTTGGTTTGAGCTCCTAGAGACACTTGGTAAAGAGCCTGTTACAATTCCTCCCTGGAGCTTTCGTTCAGGTAGCCTGAGCAGGTATAGCGACAATTTTCAAAAAGCTATGTGTGAGTGCGCCAGTAGTTACTTATGAAAATAAAGAACCAAAAACCAAAACACAAACCGCTTATTTCTAAGAGGTAAGATAGTGGGTGATTTAACTTTTACATTCTTTTTAACAGGTGTTTGAATTCCTAAAAGCTTTATCTATCTGTCTGTCTGTCTATCTATTGGGGGGGCAGGGTTTTTCTGTGTGGCCATAGCTGCCTTGGAACTTAACTCTGTAGACCAGGCTGGCCTTGAACTCACAGAGATCCGCCTGCCTCTTCTGCCTCCCGAGTGATGGGATTAAAGGTGTGCGCCACCACCGTCCAGCGTCTTGTAGAAGTTTTAAAAAATATTTCTTTGATGCTCCCCATCCCTACCCCTCGGATTCTTTATTAGTTAGATGTTGATTGTTCTGAGTCTTGGCACAATTTTTCTCTACTTTAAAATTTTTTTTAGGAAATGTTATAATCAAGTTTTAAATTTATTTTACTCAATAACTTAAAGCACATCCTGTTTGGATTTGGTCATGGCCAACATTCTGTAGCCCCAGAACTTGGGAGGCGGAGGCAGGTTGACCAGTTTTAGCCTGGCTTTGGCTACATAGAGTTCTTGCCAGTCTGGAACCCTAAAAGACAACAGCAATAGCTCTGTCCTGTTTTAGGCATGTGCAGCCTAAGGGTTCTTTAAGGATGTTGACTCTGACCTTTGACTTGTTGGAATTGTCTGCATTTATTCTGGGCTCAGTTTTCAGTTACCTTTGTTTTTTGAGACAGTGTCTTTTGTAGTCCATGCTGACCCATTCTCCTTATGTAGCCAAGGAGAACTCTGAGCTCTGATTCTCCTGCCTCCATTTCCCCAAATGCTGGGAGTACAGATGCACACACTACCATGTTACCATGACGATTCATTCTTCTTCAGGCCTCGTCACAGTGTATTGTTTTCATGTTGTTATTTAGAATGCACAGTGAGAGAGGAGGAGATCAGAATGGGTTTGGGAACAAGTAGAGAGCTGGCTGCTTTCAGAGAGGCACCAGCTACTTCCTGACGCTGCTGTGTGGAGCAGCTGCTCTGTTTCTGAGATGGCCTGACTGTGCGCTGCTCTGTGTGGAGCAGCTGCTCTGCTTCTGAGATGGCCTGACTGTGCGCTGCTCTGTGTGGAGCAGCTGCTCTGCTTCTGAGATGGCCTGACTGTGCGCTGCTCTGTGTGGAGCAGCTGCTCTGCTTCTGAGATGGCCTGACTGTGCGCTGCTGTGTGGAGCAGCTGCTCTGCTTCTGAGATGGCCTGACTGTGCGCTGCTCTGTGTGGAGCAGCTGCTCTGCTTCTGAGATGGCCTGACTGTGCGCTGCTCTGTGTGGAGCAGCCTTCTGAGTGTTTGGCTTGGTGGTCAGTGACTGGTAAACTGTTTACAAGATGTTAAATTATACTGTGATCGAATTTTACAAGTAAATGGGAGAAATATTCTTAATTGTAATGAAATACACACAATCTACCAGAGAATCACGGTCAGCGTACAGTTTCAGATGCTGTTAATCATGCTTACTGTTCTGGTCAAGGTTACTGATGCTGTGATGAAACACTGTGACCACAGCAGCGTGGGGAGGAAAGGGTTTATTTCAGCTCACGCTTCAGGTAACCGTCCATCCTGAAGGAAGGAAGTCAGGACAGGAACTCAGACAGGACAGGAACCTGGAGGCAGTAGCAGAGGCCTGCTCAGGACCATCAGCCCAGGGGTGGCCCCATCCACAATCACTAATGAAGAAAATGCACTACAGGCTGGCCCACAGGGTCTTCCTGTGGAAGCGTTTTCTCAGTTGAGGCCCTCCTCTCAGATGACTTGTCAAGCTGACAGAACTAGCCAGCAGCCTTACAGTCTTCCGCATCAGTCATCTCATTTAGAGCTCTGTCACCTTACAGAACTGAAATTGTGCTCACTAAACAGTCACTTCCCACCACTCTCTTCCTGTCAGCTTCTGGCAGACATCTTGTCTCTGAATCGTACTGTACTACATATAAGTAGACTTACATGTCTGTCCTTTTAAGAAGTTGTAAGAAACACAATGCACGGGATTACCTTTTAATCATTTTGACAAACGTGGCTTTTAGTAGTGCGAGGGTACATTCACACTGTAAGTCTCAGACTTTATCCTTTAAACAGCAGCCTGTGGCCCCATCCTTGGTACCTGCTGTCTTTGTACTTTTGTCTCTAAGACTTTGATTCCCTTAAGTTTCTGTAAGTGGAATCCTAGTCTTTCGTGACTGCTGATTTCACTCAATGTAATGTCCTCAAGGGTTGTCCCTTGGAAGTTGACTAGTAAATACTTTATTGAATGTTTACTGTTATTTGTTTCCACATCTGTTGGTTGATGGTCACTCAGTTTGCTGTTTGAGTGATACCACTGTGCACATGTGTGGGAACTTCCCCATGAGACTCTGCATTCAGCTCTTTTGGCATGTACCCAGGAGGGGATTTCTGGTCGTTGTTTTAAGTTTTTGAGGACCCACAGTTTATTTCCTATAGCACCTGCAGCATTTTGTAAACTTTCAAGTAAAGATTACAGTTTATGTCTGTCATTACCAACACTTGTTCATTTGTTTTTAAAAATGAAATAATTATGTTGATGGATGTGGGTTATGTACATTTTCATCAGAGAGAGGTGATCTGGAAGACCATCAAGGAAGCACTGGTATGCTTATGTTGAAGTAGGGGCTGGTGTGTGTGTGTGTGTGTGTGTGTGTGTGTGTGTGTGTGTGTGTGTGTGTGTTCGTTCGTGTGTGCATATGTATGCATTGGGGAAGATAAAAGTTTGAGAGGTCATAGAAAATTGGAAATGATTTATTTGAATTTAAATAATTACATGAGAAATAACATAAAAATAAGTTTTATATTTTGAACCTGACTATAGTAAGAATGTGGGAACAAAGGAGAGAAAGAATGACGGACATAGTGTGGGAGTCTGGGCAGGTGGCCTGTAGTAGGTGAGAAGGCAGGTCTTGGAGAGCCTCTGGGATAGAGGCCATGGTAATTCTCATTGAAATACTGTTTTCTTTAGAAAACACCTAACCTGATACACTTTTCCTTCTCAATTTTTTTTCCAGCTCTTGCAAGCTTAGGGTATGAAAAGAGCTGTGTGTTGTTCAATTGTGCTGCCTTAGCTAGCCAGATTGCAGCAGAGCAGAACCTGGATAATGATGAAGGATTGAAAACGGCTGCTAAGCAGTACCAGGTATGCAGAAAAGCAGTTCCTACACAGGCAAGCACGCTGGATTCAAGAAGCGACTGGCATTTAGATAATGGCTGCTGCCTTCTTCATGACAGATGATCTGGGAAAGTCGTGCTCTTAAGTAAACTGGTCCTTGTTGAATCCTTAGATAAACATTTGAGCACTGAAGCACTAGTTCTATTGCCCAAGTCTGTTTTTCCTCCCCGTGTACTCCTACCCAGCACCTAGCACAGTGCCTGGCACATAATAGAGACTCAGTGAATGTTGATTGGAAACAAAGATGAAATAGGTGGGGCGAATGGCATACATTTGTGGAAAACCTCTTAGAAGTAAATGACTTGAGTTAGACTTGAACTCAAGATGTTAGGCTTGGTGACAGGCAACTTCCCATACTGAGCCATCTTGCTGCCCCCATGGTAGTCTAGTTAACACAGTGACTTTGAGCTTTGTCTGCATGGCTTACTGAGGTAACCACTTTAAAATTCCAAATTGACTTGATTTCTTCCTTTTTCTCAGCTTAATTTGTTTCAAAAAAGTAATTTTAGTAGTAACCTCAACAAGAGAAAATTGGGAAGAAAAATTTGAAGGGGCACATTTCACTGGGAAGTCCTGAAGGACAGATGGATATGCTGGCCCTCAGAGTGTGCCAGTTGGGGTGTTTCTTAAGCCCAGTATACTTATTTGAAAGATAACTTGGTTTGGGATAAAGGCAAGGGCCTTTCTGTACTGAAAACAAATGAGTAGAGGCTGAAGGAATGTCTCAGTCAGTAAAGGAAGCACCTGCTTTGTAATCTCAAGGACCCGAGTTTGTTTGGAGGTGTATGCTCGCACATGTATGTACGCACATGCACACAGCCATTGAATAGTTTTTTCTCTTCACCTGTTCTTGGGTACATTTTGAAGAAGTGTGTCTAATAAATTAACCTTGATCCCCTTTTGCCATTCTCTTACTTTGCCCTCCCCTGTATTCTAAACTTCTTGTTGCTCTAGAATTGTGGTGAGGCCCCTGTCTGTGGATGAGACGCTGTGGAGCACATGTGGAAAAGTGTGGAGTTACTGTCTTCTCCTTTGGCCTGTAGGGGTTTGTGTGGAATAGCAGAAAATTAAGTCTCAATATTAAAGAGTTCTTTTTCCCTCTCCTTCTAGTTTGCTAGTGGTGCCTTTTTACATATTAAAGACACAGTTTTATCTGCCTTAAGTCGAGAGCCTACTGTGGACATATCTCCAGATACCGTTGGAACCCTCAGTCTTATTATGCTGGCCCAAGCTCAAGAAGTATTTTTCTTAAAAGCCACAAGAGGTAACTTCAATTTTTCTTTATCATGTTACACGTGAAAAAAGTACTAGGCTTTTATACCAAGATGTGGTTAGGTCATTGAGTAGTCACCTCATTTCAGAGGGAGAGTTACCCAGAGGAAGATAGAGTGCTTCCTGTGGCAGTGGCTGGTGGTCTGGCGGTGGGATGGCTACGGGACTGCAGCATTTGAATTAGTTTGTTAAGAATGACTTCTTTTAGGGTTTGATGTAAGTGTGTATGCAAGTGTCTGTGCCCTGCAGGTGAAAAAGGGCCTGTGTCCCCTGGGCCTGGAGTCACAGGCACCGTGAGCCACTTGATATGGGTGCTGGGATTTGAGCTCTGCTCTTTCTGATTGAGCAGCAGGTGCTCTTAACCATTGCGCCTTCGAGGAGAGTTTCTTTAAAGTCGTCTTGTTTAAACTAGACTTCAGTGACAAGAAGAGCTGTTCAGGCAGTGTCCTTGGCGACTAGGGGATAAGAACAACTCTTACGAATGTGTGTAAGTCAGTTTGAGAGATATAGACTGAATGTCTAAGTACAGAGAAATTGAAGATGCGGAAGAAGCATGAACACAACTTATTTTTTTCTTAAAATGGCAGTTTAGTTGGGTGTGGTGACTCATGCTTGTAATCCCTACACTTGGGAGACTGAGATGGGGGATTGCATGATATTGAGGCAATGCTAGGTTACCTAATGAATTTCAGACTAGCCTGGCAACTGTCTGAAACCCTGTCCCAAACAAACACACACAAAATTCCGTATGTGGTGACTCATACCTGTAATCAGAGCAGTTAGGCTGAGTTGGAGGCCATCTGGGCTACAGAGTGAGGCAGGGAGGGAGGGAAGCAAGAAGCAGCTTGTATGCAGATAGAAGTCATAGACCTCAGCGTTCCCTTTTCTGGAGTACTCACAGAACTTCATAGTCACCACCACCTTATGTTAGGGCATCACCACACCCGAGAACAACTCTAATGTCAGGACTCACTCCCTTCCTTCGGCTGCAGCTGACAGCAGCCATTACTCTATGCCTGTGACTTTGAATTGTTTGTGGAATTGTTTATTTACTTATTTAGAAACAGGCTTATGTAGCTTGGGCTGGCCTGGGACTTGTTTTGTCGGCAAGGATGGCTTTGAATATTTGATCCCTTGGTTTAGGCCCAAAGTACTAGGGTTATATAGGCTTGCATCACCAAGTTTTGCCCTTTGTGAAATAGTTTTTGTGCAGAAGACTAAATTTCACCAATGTGGATTTCTTTTGACAGGTGTGTACATTTTACTTTTGTCTTTTTTTTCTTTTAAATGTGCATGGGTGTGTAGTTGCTGTGTATGTGTGCTTGGTACCACTGGGGGACAAAAGAGGGCATTGGGTTCCCTGCAGCAGGAGTTAGACAGGTGTGAGCTGCTGTGTGGGTGCTGGGAACTGAAACTGGGTCCTTTGGAGGAAGAGCCAGTGCTCTCAACTGCTGAGCCATTGCTCCAGTCCCAGTGTATATGGTTTTTTGTTTGTTTGTTTTTTAAATTTCAGTGTCTGTGTCAAGTCATGTATCAGGTTATCTCATTTATTTTAGTGTGTGTGTGTGTGTGTGTGTGTGTGTGTGTGTGTGTGTGTGTGTGTGTTGGGGAGAATGCAGGCACATGTGTGTCATAGTGCTTGTGTGGTGGTCAGAGGGCACCTGCTGAGTTTTGCTGCTGGCCTTTGTCTCCTTTCCTTCAGTTACAATGATCATTTAACATTTTATTCCAGATAAAATGAAAGATGCCATCATAGCTAAGCTGGCAAACCAGGCTGCAGACTACTTTGGTGATGCTTTCAAGCAGTGTCAGTACAAAGATACTCTCCCCAAGGTCAGTTACTATCTTCATAGACACTTGGTTTTTTGCACGTGGGACTCTTTATAAATGAGAAACAAGTTGAAAAGTATGTTTTAACAAAGACATCTGGTATTTTAATGAAGCATTTGAAGAATAGTTTCTAGAATGTTATGTTTTCAGATGCCTGGACTGTTCTTTTAGGAGATGCCTTTCTATTTATTCTTCACTAAATTTATTTTTCTGAGCTAAAACTTTCTGGAAAACTTTCATCATCTGTCCTCAGTCATTTGATCATCCTGATTGTTGATAGTTTTGGAAGAAGCATGGATATGGGGCATGTCGACGACTCACAGTTTTAGTCATTGTCCTGTTTTCTTAAGGATGAGCCTTAAAGCACAAAACCAAAGAAAAAAGGGAAAGAAAGCCTAAACTCACCGAATCCCTTGATTAGAATTAAGGTTAACCAACAGGCATAGGAGATTGGGCTGCTAATGGGCAGCTAAGGAGCAGCAGCCGTCTTGAGGTGCGGGAGGCCCTGCTTTAGTGTTGCTTTCCTGAAGGGCAGTGGGGAAGTGGTCAGGGACGTCTTACAAATGACAGAGCGTGTGGCCAGCTGCGCAAGCGGAGTTGGAGTGGTAAAGTACTTTTAACACAGGAAAGAGGACTTTCTGTTTTGTTTTCCTTTTTCTTTTGTTGGTTTTTCGAGACAGGGTTTCACTGTGTGACCCTGACTGGCATGGAAGTCTCTCTGTAGAGCAGGCTGGCTTGGAACTCACAGAGCTCCGCCTGCCTCTGCCTCTTGTGTGCTGGGATTAAAGGTGCGTGCCACCGCCACCTGGCACAAAGGATGTTTTATCGGCTCTCCCTTACAGTTTGACAAGGAATTGGTTATCTGTGGTAGTAGATGATGTTTGTAAGGGGATCTGTGAGTTTATGTTATTCAGGGATCTTTGTAAATTATGAAACCACAGAAAATATAGGTACGCAAGCAGTGGAGAGCTAATGTCGAGATATAGATTTAAGGCACATTGGGCTTGAGGTCATTCTTGGGCACCTGCCTGCCTAGCACCTAAGACTCCAGATCCCATCCATAGCATTGCCACTGTCCTCTCTCCCCAGTTCTGAGTTTTGCCCAGGACCCTTGTAGTACTCAGATTGTCTCCATATTTAGCTGCACAGTGTATTGTCATATTCTTTCACAAAAATAATTTAGTCCTGTCACAGTCCTGTCATTTCAAAGTCTTGAAAGCCACGTCTGCAGTGTTCCTGGGTCTTCTTGGAATATCTTTACCAAGATGCTCCAGCCTTCCTTGAGTACCACAGTTTCAGACTACAGTGTCTTTGGATTTCTCCTTTCACTAAGTCTGCTGAATTATTTTCACACCCAGTTCCAACTGGATGCCCATAAGCAGCAATGCAGTTCTAGTTCTAACTGGATGTCTGTAAGTAGTGGCACAGCGCTGGGTTTTTTCCTAGCAGACAGAAAACACTCATGGTAGTAATTCAGTTCTTGATATAAGGTATCTAATGTATTTATTGGGTTTTTAAAAATGCCACATACTTCAGAAAAGCAGTGAGATTGCAGGATGGGACTTGACGTTTTGGAAGAGTCCCTACCGATATAGTGGCTTTCATGATTCATGTGTTTGGATTTAAGTGTATTAGACTATAGTTATTTTAAAAATAGATAAGGGCAAAGTTATACTTTATCATTACAGTCATTAGTGCATATGTATGTCTGGGATATATTTTTGAGTATATAATACTGAAATATTAATATTTATATGATACTAAATTATTTTTTATTGGCTACCATAATCTTTTTTTACAGTCTCTCAGCATATGAATTTAAGTGAGGACTTACCTTACTGTCTTTTGTCTTTTAAACATGATGAAACAGTCAGCTCTAGAGCAGTTTCATTAGTATATGTGAGTGACGGTGGTGTAGGTACCTGAAGGCTGGGTAAGGGCTAAGAAAGCTTCTAAAACTGGACTTGGTATTCTTCCATGGACTTGCAACTCTTCCTAACGCATGCCTTCCTATTTTCCTGTAAACAAAATGCTTATTTCCTGACTCCATCGAATGAGCTTTAAAAAAACTTGAATTGGCTTCACTTAACAGTTTAAAAGAACAGACAAACAAACAAACACACCGTAATTTTAACAGAAAGAAAGTTGAATTCATAACAGTTCCTGCAAAACCACAAGGTCTTCTCTGCTCACACCTAATGACTAACCTATCTAAACCATTACTGGGTGATTGTAATTTCTGTCTCCTCTCCTTTCTCTTCCTGCATCCTTGTTGTCTGTGATGGTTTGTGTGGTTGGACTCTCCCCTGGTCAGTATTTTTATTTCCAGGAGGTATTCCCCACCCTGGCTGCAAAGCAGTGTATCATGCAAGCAAATGCTGAGTACCACCAGTCCATCCTGGCCAAGCAGCAGAAGAAGTTTGGGGAAGAGATCGCAAGGTTGCAGGTGAGTCTCGTGTTGATAAATGTTTAGGTGACATCCTTCTCCCGTTTCTGCCTAGTGAAACCCAGTTCGCTCATGACCACTTCCCGTTCATGGCCTTTGTCAGCAGAGGCAAGTGATGGTTTTCATCTGTATACTTTACCGACAAGCGTATTAAATTATGTACATTGCCTTGTTCAGGTTTCTGCTCACGTGAATGACATGGAGTGGGTGTGTATCTCTGATTGCTGATGTGTGTGATGTTCAGGGCCCCATAAAGACATCAGTACCTCTTAGTTACTGTTAATAGTTGTGTAGCTTATGGAAACAACCCTGACCCTCACTAATGTCAGACAATGCTGATTGACCCCAGCTGTCTTTTACTGCCTTGGCAGCTCACTCGTGTTTAACTGGGATGTCTGTTTTTCCCCTTTTATTATTAGATGTTTAATCATGGAATTTCCCGGTTATTCTGCCAAGCACAGCGCTGCAGATACTGAGAGTTTAAAAGTGCTTGGTAGAGAAAGCATTCATCTCCAAGCAGACACTGTTAATATGAATGTTTATTTTTAGCATGCAGCAGAACTGATTAAGAATGTGGCCTCCCGTTATGATGAATATGTCAACGTGAAGGATTTTTCTGACAAAATCAGCCGTGCCCTTACCGCGGCAAAGAAGGATAACGATTTCATTTATCATGACCGTGTCCCAGACCTTAAAGATCTGGATCCTATCGGCAAAGCCACCCTTGTGAAGCCCACCCCAGTCAATGTACCCATCAGCCAGAAGTTCACGGGTAGGTCTGGCCTCTGGATACACTTCAGTCAATTTGTGTTTTTTCAGGTTCCCCTTCTCCCTACTTTTCCTCACTCACCAACTCTGGACACTATTCATTTTCCATTTTCTATAAAGAAAATGATGCTTTGGTGAAGCCTTCTCTTTTCTCCAGGCTCATTGGTGGTATTAATATAAAAGCTCACATATTTTTCTCTAATACTTTGATTATAGCCTGCATTTATGTTGTTTAAAAGAAGTGTAGGATAGACTTGGTACACACCTGAAGTCCCTCCCAGCACATGTGAGGCTGAGACAGGAGGAATCTGAGTTTGAGGTCAGCTTGGTCTGCATAGTGAGTTCAAGGCCTACCTTGGCTATAGAATGAGTGAGACAAGCTAACGAGACAGCTAAGGACAAGAGAGTGTGGAAAGTGTTGTGTCTTGTGTGAGTTTTCACAGGAAACAACAAAGCACCTGTGGAGCATAAACCATGGGTGTCTGAAGAAGGATTGGTAAGGTTAGAACTTTGGACAAACCTTGCCATTTTGCTGATGGAACATTTGTTATATTTAAGATTCCACCAACGAATATAAATATATGGTTATTTATTTACTTATTTGAGAGAGAGGTCTCATATAGCCCAGGCTGGCCTTTAACACAGTGTAGTCAAGGTTGGCTTTGAATTTCTAATTCTATTGCTTTAGCCTCCTAAGGGCATGAGCCACCATACCTGGATGGATAATTTTTAAACCAGTTTGTTTCTAGTGTAGTATTTACATTAGATCAATGTTGTTATTTATAGCCTTCCTTTGATAGTGTAAATATATGTTACATATGCAGTATTTGATGGCTTCCAACAGATCTCTTGCACAATATGTAAGCTTCTGGGAAAGAGTGATTACTTAGCTTATTTTTATTTAATAAACAGAAAGTGTTAACCACATGCCAGTGACTTTTAAGCATTGACAAATACACTCAGTTTGCTCTCACAGCAGCTCAGGGCGCAGGAACTATTGATGTCTTTGCTACTGAGGGTGATGCTGAGACTCAGGGCAAGTCTGTTTCCACAGGCTACATAACTAGGAAGTGACCACATATTCTGTCCAGTCAGCAAGTGAGCAGTGTCATTAAGATTCCTCATATATGATGACTTAAAAACTTAGGGGAAATGAATGAAGGTCTTGTCCGTCAGTGTAGTGACTCAGAGTTCTGTTCACTACTGGCTTTCAGTGTGCTGTAGTTTCTGATCTTGTGACATTATAGAGAAAAAGAGTAGTCATGTCTGTAGTTTGAGTCTGTCCGTATAACTTACTTAGACCTTCTCTTCTGTTTTAGATTTGTTTGAGAAGATGGTCCCTGTGTCTGTGCAGCAGTCTCTGGCTGTGTTTGGTCAGAGGAAAGCTGACTTGGTTAACAGATCAATCGCTCAAATGAGAGAGGCCACTACTTTGGCAAATGGGTAGGTGGAGCCTGGCCTTCTGAAGCTGACTTACAGGTTCTTGAGTTTGCAGTTGACTTGTTGTGCTTTAATAATTCACGAACACTTTCCAGTCTTTTGAGCTTGGAAATGAATACCAAGCAGAGATAGATACTCCAACACTTGTTCTTTTGATTATTTTCTTAAGAAGCTTTAGGTAAACTTGAGTTGGAAGGAATGGGATTACAGAAAAAAGGTAAGACTATTTGACTACTATGAGTAGAGATGAGCCCTTTAAGATGCATGGTTCCAGGCTGAGGAGCTGGCTCATCAGGTAAAAGTGCTTGCAGCCAAGGCTTGCGACCCAAGTGCTTTTCTGGGACCCACATGGTGGGAGGAAACTCCTGCAGGTTGTCCTCTGACCTCCACATGTGCACTCTCTCTCTATATATATATATCTATATATCTATATACATTTTTTTTCCTATACATACAAACATACATACATATATGACCTCGTGTATCCCGGTCTGGCCTCAGACTTCATCTGTAGCTGAGGGTAATCTTGAAGTCCTGATCTTCTTCCCTCTGTTTCTCATGTTCTTTTATTTATTTGCCTTTTTCCCCCCCGGCATTGTGAATAGTAAATATGTGTAAATTCCTCTGCTTTATCATGTAAATGAAAAGTGACTGAAGAGCTGTTATTGTACCACAAAACCCCAAATGTGGGAGAGTCTGTAATTGATACTTTGATCTTCTGTGTTATTTGATCTTTTGCATAGATATAAAATTATAATAGGGTATGCAATACTATGCCCAGCATTTTTCTTGGTTTTGTCTTTTAATTCTGAACTCTGAACTTAAATATCTCAGTTCTTTTTAATTTTTACAATTTTTTAATAAATTTATACTGGTATATAATGAATCTTTGTAGTTTCCATCCCCCACTCCCTTTCTGTAGCTCCTCCCACCCAGCCAACATATCTCCTCTTTCCCTCCCAACATCTATTCTTTAATTATTTTAGTGGTATTAATCATTGATTTCCCCCTCCCTCTTATTTTTAATAGGAGTCATCCTTGTGGAGTGCTAACTCCAGTGTTGGTTTTGGTGGATAAAAGTGACTGCTATTTTAAAGGAGGTGGTGTAGACTTACACATGACACAATGTCTCCTGTTTTGCAGGGTATTGGCTTCCCTCAACCTTCCAGCAGCAATTGAAGATGTGTCTGGAGACACTGTACCTCAGTCTATACTTACCAAGTCTACATCTGTAGTTGAACAGGGTGGCATCCAGACTGTTGACCAGCTGATAAAGGAACTACCCGAGTTACTACAAAGAAATAGAGAAATCTTAGAAGAGGTGTGTTTGAAAAGATGGGCCTTTCAAGTTGAAACTGCCATCTTGGTGTCAAGGGCTTCAAGGGGGTAGCACTCAGTGTCTGGTCTGGGTGAGGTCACTGAGCCTTACTTGCCTTTAGCTTCAGGAAGACTTCTGTTGAGTGAGAATGAGTCTTTTTTCTCTTTCGGGTTTTCAATACAGGGTTTCTCTGTGTAGTCCTGGCTATTCTGGTATTCTCTCTGTAGGCCAGACTGGTCTCAAACTCAGAGTCTGCCTGCCTCTGCCTCCTTAGTGTTGGGATTAAAGGTGTGAGCCACCACGCCCAGCTAAGAATGAGTCATTCATGGAAGAAAGTAAATGCATATTAGCTAAATTTGTATGATCATTGACTGTTGCATACTAATAAACTATAGGAATCAAATTGTTCACTTATAACACTTCATAATTAGTAATGTCTTTTGTATATAGACATCAGGTTCTGTATTAGATACCATATTTTTTGTTTTTGTTCTTGTTTTTGAGACATCAATCATATATTCCAGATTGGCCTTGAGCTCCCTATGTAGCCAAGGGTGACCTTGAATTTCTGACACTGTCTCAAAAAACCAAACAGTCAAACCTCTCAGACCCCATAAGCAACAATAAAAATGTTTGAGGTTTTCTTTTTTAATGCTAGAAATGGTATCTCAAGGATTTCTGCTTTCTTTTTTAAGTCTCTCAGACTGCTGGATGAAGAAGAAGCAACTGACAATGACTTAAGAGCAAAATTCAAGGAGCGCTGGCAAAGGACTGCATCCAATGACCTTTACAGGCCTCTGCGAGCAGGTAACCATGGCACACATGACTGCATGCAAGTGAATCTCCACTTTCTCCATGGTTATTTTTAAAGTAGACTCAGTTGTAAACTCATCTTTACTGAACCTTGTATGACTAATGAAAACACAGGCATTTCCCTTGATTAACAAAGACAAAACGGCAATGAAACTCATCTAGGGTCACTGTGACGAGTGGGAGTTACGCTGATTTTCCAGCATGCATGAAGTGATATGTATGGTCTCGTCATTCCTCTTTGACTTAGTAGTGAATCCTAGGTGGATAAGCAAATGGACCTTAACAGCTACTTTGAAATAGATTATGCTTTTTAAGAACTCGACTATTAAGAATTGTGTTTACAGTAAATAGTATCTTCATTGTAGCTGGAAACATTGTCTGTGTTAGTTTTCAGATGGATCTGCTTTACTTTGCAGTGAGGTTACCCTAAGAGAGCAGTACTTTTTCATGGGTTGTACCGTCTGATGTGAATGACTCCAGTCTGTATTCATGAGTTGTAGAAAGAAGTTCAACGAATGTCAGCCAGTCTTCTTTCACTTGGTAAATGTTAGCCAAGTGATAACAAATTACTGTACCCCAGCTCCATAAGTAATTTTGTGGATGAGGTTTCTTGTCTAATGAACTAGGGTCTACAGAGGGGGAAGGGCATCTACAGGACTTTAAAATACAGTCAACCCCATCAGCCTGAGCTTTGGAAACTCTTTCTCTTAGAGGGATCCAAATTCAGAGCGGTTTTAGATAAGGCTGTGCAAGCAGACGGAAGCGTGAAAGAGCGCTACCAGTCCCATCGAGACACCATCGCACTTCTGTGTAAGCCGGAACCCGAGCTGAATGCCGCCATCCCCTCTGCAAATCCAGCAAAGACCATGCAGGGCAGCGAGGTGAGCACAAGGGAGAACTTGCTATGGGTGGGCCGGTATTTATGGAACTCGGTTCAAGCTTCTGTGTTCAGTGACCTTCCAGAGTCTTCCTGTTACCTTCTCAACAATGAAGAATGGGGCTTCAGGCATAGCCTCATCTTGGAGCACTTGCTCAGCCTGCACTAGGCTTCGGGGTTGATTCCAAGTACCACACAATCATGCATACTCAACGCACAGATACATAAACAGGGCTTCTGCATCAGCTCCTGCCTCCAGGAGCCATGGAGGGTGCTGCTTACTGGCTTGCTCAGCCTGCTTTCTTGTAGAACCCAGGACCAACAGCCCAGGGATGGCCCCACCCATTGATTACTAATTGAGAAAATGCCTTACAGCTGGATCTCATGGAGGCAGTTCCTTAACTGAAGCTCCTTCCTCTCTGATGACTCTAGCTTGTGTCAAGTTGACTCACAAAACCAGCCAGTACAGTGAGTCTCTGCACATAAGACATTGAATCCCCTGGAGTTGGAGTTGCAGACAGTTGTGAGCTGCCCTATGTGGATGCTGTGAACTGAAATCAAGTCCTATGGAAGAGTAACAAGTGCTCTTAATTTTCAGTTAGAGGATGTTTATTAACACGTACCAAGAAGGCTCATTACTATATACCAGAGGTGTGTTGTGGGGATCCAAGCTCAGTCCCTAATGCTTACCCATGAGCCATCTTCCCAGCCTTCCCAATGTACAGTGTTTTTCCAACATTTTAAACTTATATGCCCGACTGTGCCTGGCCCAATAAAAGATATGATAAGTAAAGAGGTAACTTAAATTCACTAAATAAATAAGAATTTAATTCCTGATCTGTTTCACATGGTGGCTCTTCTTTTTTTTAAATCTGTCTGAATGCTTAGACTTCTAAGCCTCTATGTAGTTCAAAATGTACCCAGGGTTTACAGTTGTACCATGAAGCTCAGGTGCCAGGTAGCAATGACTGCATGGTGGGCTCTGCCTGTGCAGGAAATCATGTTGAACACTTCATGTGGACACCTTGATCTCCACAGATGTCTTGAAATAGGTATTGTTTTCATTTTGCAAATGAAAAGATTTAGCTTTCCAGGAATTCACCTACCCTGGTTATATAGTAACTAAGTCTGTCATGTGGATTACTAGTATCCCAGTGTTAAAGTACTATTTTCTTTCCTTCTTTTGAAACAGTGATTCTAGGGTTTGAATCCAGGGCCTCATGCATAGGCAAACTCAAAACCATGAACTGTATTCCCAGTCCTTTCCTTTTTTTTCCCTTTTGAGACAGGCTCTCTCTGTGTAGCCTTGGCTGACCTGGAACTTTGTAGTTCAGGCTGGCCTCAAATTCACTTATCCTCCTGTCCATGCCTCCCTGTGCTGGAATTAAGGCATGCAACCCCAAACCTAGTTTGAAATACTTTATTTGTTGTAGCTGTTTGACTTTGTAGGTCCATTTGTTTCCAATACTAAAGTTTTGAGTTTTGAATATATAAAATTGTTCAGTTCCCAAGAGGTAGAGAGCAGGGGTTACGTTCCTCAGCCTTGAATTCTGTTACCAGGGATGTCCTACCACTGACCATGCATGTGCTTGTTGTTTAGGTTGTAAATGTCTTAAAATCCTTATTGTCAAGTCTTGATGAACTAAAGAAGGAAAGAGAGGGTCTTGAGAATGACCTGAAGTCAGTGAATTTTGACATGACAAGCAAGTTTTTGACAGCTCTGGCCCAGGATGGCGTGATAAACGAGGAGGCTCTTTCTGTCACTGAGCTGGATCGGATTTATGGTGGCCTAACTACTAAAGTTCAAGAGTCTCTCAAGAAACAGGAGGAACTTCTAAAAAATATACAGGTAAATTTATGTACTTCATAGGAGGCATGTTCCAGACCTATTGACAAATGAAGAATTCACAGAGGAGAATATGGTATATCTGCCTAGTTTGCAAGAATAAAGGGTCTTTACAGCCAGGTCGGTGTGACACAGGTGGATCTCAAAGCTTGCCCTCCTTGTGGGTCACCTTTGACAGTGCTGGGGTTAAGATAAAGAGCAGCATGCACCCTTAACGATGGAGAATGTTCATTGGTTGTTTCACCTGGTATGTGTGAGGTCCTAGGTTCAAACCCAGTACCAGCAACAAAGCTACCTCTCTTGTGAGGGTGCTACATGCTGCTTAGAAAGTCTTCAGACACATTTTTTCCAAACCTCATGTTTCCTTTTTATTTTTCTTGCCACGTGTAGGGAAGAATCAAAATTAGTGGGAAGCATTAATGCCTGCAGAATAGTCTGGCTAATACATAATAGACTTCAGTTATGTCTAAGACTATCAGTGAATGTGCAGAATTCTGTAGCGGTAATGTATTCTAAAATCATCAGTTCTTATCGGGGTAGTTTTTGTGTTATAGAATGATAGGTATTGGTAACCATTATTGATTATATTTTGCTATCATTGAATTTGTGATATTTTTAAAGGAAAAAGTCAAGACAGTGTACTGACACAAACAAATTCAAGGTATTTTTTGTAATTTCGCATATCAGCAGTCATGATTTCCTAATTGGAAAAGAGATCAATACATTTTTTTATTGTTTACTTTTGTTCTTTGAGGTGGTCTCTCTATGTAGTCCTGATAGGCTTAGTGTTTTTAGAGATCCTATTGTTTCTGCCTCCTCAGTGTTGGGATTAAAGGTATGAAGTGACACCCCACCCCGGTACAAATATTTTGATTGGCTATGAAGATGGCCTATGGGATACCAATCTTGATGACCTGAGTTCAGTCCCTGAGACCATGTTGGAAGAAGAGAACCAACTCCTGAAAGTTGTCCTGTGACCTCCTGATATGTACTGTCCCACATGCATACCCACACACATACATGTGTATGCAATACATAATAAACAAAAGAAAATTTAAAATCATTTCAAGCTGAATTGAATTTATAAGTAAATACACACTTTGTTTCTTTCACCAAGGTTTCACACCAGGAATTTTCTAAAATGAAGCAGTCTAACAATGAAGCTAACCTGAGAGAAGAAGTTCTGAAGAACTTGGCTGCTGCGTACGACAATTTTGTTGAACTTGTGGCTAACTTGAAGGAGGGCACTAAGGTATGCATGCACGCAGGAGAGGCTAGAGCTGACTGGTCCAGGTGGGAAGGTCAGTTGGGATGCTAGTGATTGTGCATTTGATTTGCTGTTCTCCTGTCTCTTGCTTCTGTTGGGCTTTAGAGCGAGAATGTTCGGCAGAGGCAGCAACATTTTGGTGGAACTTCGAGGAATCAATTGTGTAGAGAAGGGATTTACAGATTGCAGGTAGCAGGAATTAGAGCTATCGGAAACCAATGATGTCTTCATCAGGGCTGGTTGGGGCTGATCTGTGGTGGAAGGGCACACATAACCTTGATCTCCTGTGCTGGTGATGTGGTGTGACCTTCCCAAGTGTCAAAGTAGTTTTCAGATGTGTTTCCTTGCTTGGTTTGTTAAAGGGTTTAGAGAAATGCTTTGTGTGTGTGTGTGTGTGTGTGTGTGTGTGTGTGTGTGTGTGTGTGTGTGTGTGTGTGTGTGTGTGTGTGTATTTTCCCCTGACTGTTTTGCTTTTGAGAGAAGTGATTTTTAAGTTTTCAGATACAAGGTTCCTTCTGGTTCTTAACTCTATGATGAGAACTGAATAAGGTCACCTTGTTGGGATGCAGTGCTTATTCTCAGTGGTCCTTTGAATGGACAGCACTGTAAAACCTTGGTGTAAGGGGAAGGGTGAGGCCATTCATGAGGACTCAGTACTTTGTTCAAGAAGATGAATTGAAGGATTCTCCAGGGAGCCTGAGTATTATCTTCAGTGACGCCTGCATTTTCTTAGTTAGTGCACAGGGTTAACTCACCATGACAGTAGATTTAGTCATACTTAATAGTTGGTTTTTGTATAGGGATTGGGAACATGTTCACAGTTATAAAACTTGTAACTTACCGCCATTTAATACTCAGCGCCAGTGTTCTGTGAATGTGATCTCATTAGTTTTATTTTCCTTTCCACCCCTAGGTCATATTTAGTCCTAAGTTACTCAGTTGGTAGTATGAATGTATCTCATGTGAATGATTTCAGCTTTTAGTCTCAGCATCATTGATAAATTGTTATTGTTAGAATGTATTTTTCCCTAGATAAAATTGCTTCTTAATTATGATTTGTATTTGCTCTTTGCTTATAGTTTTACAACGAGCTGACCGAAATATTGGTCAGGTTCCAGAACAAATGCAGTGACATAGTGTTTGCACGGAAGACAGAAAGAGACGAGCTCTTGAAGTGAGTTGTTTTGTGTGTCAGATTGTACGTACAGCTCCTTTCTTGTGTGTGGGGTGCACTGGGTGGTGCTGATGCAGCACCTCCCCTTCTCTCTCCTGAGTATTGCACGGAGTCATAGGGCATCTTGATCTGGGATGAAGGAAGGAAGGAGCAGAGACTCAAGGTGTGGAATGCAGGGGTGAAACAACAGCGTGGAGTCGTGACCTGGGGAAGAAGGGTAGACAGTTGAGGAAATAGCACAGTCCCTTCCGCAGGAGCCACTGAGAAAGCTGGGCCTGTATAGAGGACTGACACAGCCAGTGATCTGGAGGAAGCGGACCCATGCTCACACAAAGGTGCTGTGTCCAGGATGTGAGCAAGGGAACGGAATGTAGCGACCTTTGACTAACACCTTAAGGGGAGATAGATAGTCCATACCTGACACTAGACTTTTTATTTGGTAACCTGTGACTTCTGTGAGGAACACTATCCCCTATGTAGGGTAACTCCAATTAAACCCTCACACACATTATACACGCACATATATATTACACACACATATATAAACACATACATATATGCATTCATGTACGGACATACATCTACATGTATCTATATCTGTATATTTAGGAAGCTTATAAAGTTGCATGTTTCTGCATGGCTCTTTCGATTGTCCCTAGTGTTTAGTTATCCACCTCCCCAGCCCTCCTCTGCCCACCCTTCCTTTTCCTCCCTACTTACATTTCCCGCCGTGTCCCTTTTCCTCCTTCATGTCACCTGTGTTCTGTTATCCCTGCCTCCCTTAAGATCTCCCCCCCAGTAGCCCCTTTCTAGTGCTTGTCCAGGTATTCCAAGTAAACACACAAATCTAAAGTGAGTGAGAATATTCCATATTGGTCTTTCTGGATCTGGGTTGATTTCAATCAGTGTAATTTTATCCAATTGCGGCCATTTGCCTGCAGACTTCATAATTTCACAGTTATTGAAGTCTTTTAACCAGAGGCAGAGCCTTTGAAAGAATTGATGCTTTTACCTGGACTTCATTTTCTTGTCACAAGTGACTTAAACACTGGTGTCAGTGGCAGCGGTTGTTGGGCACAGCAATTGTGGCATTTTACCTTTGCTGTTTGACATTATTGAGCTGGGACTTAATAGCTTTGATTTATATCACTAGTAACTGTGTAGGAAATTCTCATTTGTCCATGAATATTGGAGTTTATAAAGGAAAAGTCTTATGTTAAGGCTTAATAGTGTATGTATATATTTTAGATCTTTCAAAGACTGACATTTAGAATATTAATAGTGAATAAAATGTCCTCATTTGTAAGCAGTATTTACTTATATTAAGTACGTACATATTTTTGTTTTAATGAAGATGGTATGTCTAATTTATCTTCTACCTGGGGCCCTTTTTGAGAGTGAAGGTGCGGGTGGCAGATGAGGGTGGCTGTATGATAAAGGTGACTGATTGTGACTTTGTGACCATCAGTCCTGGTGCAGATATTGACCGAGCCCTGAGTGGCTGATGGCCATCATGTGTCACTGGAGTGTGTGGACCTTAGGGTTTAATGAGATTTTTGAAGTTAATTCTAATTTACTATTTGAAGAGACTTTATATCTGTCTCTTAACATGTCTATATTTTGATGTCTTTTCAATAATGTATTTTTTATCAGTTTATCCTAGTGACAGATTACCTTAGTGATAGATTATTACATTGGCTTTAACATAAAATAGCTCAGTGCCATGAATCTTTAAGTAATCGGTTAAAAATTGTTCTAGAAATTTATATAATTATTTACATACTTAGCTTATCTTTATTTTGTCCTCTCGTTTGTTTGAGAGAGGCTTTTGCTACACAGCTAGAGCTGGCCCCAAACTTGTGATCCTCTGCCTCTACCTCCATGGTGCTGGGATTTATTTTGTGTGGACACTGATGTCATACTTGGAATGAAACGTTAGCCCAGTATCTGAGTGGGTTGTAATTCTTTGACAACTGTCCTATTAGTTTTTTGTTTTGTAGTTAACTCTTATTAGGTAAGAAACAATCTCCTAAGGCTGCTTGCCTAGTTAAAACATCCTTATTTGAGTTCTGTAGACAGAGTTTCTGTTCCACCCGTTGCTGCTGCCCTTCAGTCCCAAATAAACACGTAGAGACTTCTTTTAATTATAAACTGTTTGACCAATGACTCAAACTTCTTAGTGGCTATCTCTGTCTTAATTATTAACCCAGTCCTATAAATCTATGTATCTCCCTGTGATCTTGGTTTACTGGAGAATTCCTGGCGTCCTATCTTCCCAGTAGCTACATGGCATCTTCCTGTCGACTCTTCCCTGCATCCTCTCCCTAGAATTTTCCTTGTCTGGTAGCCTCGCCTATACTGCCTGCCTGACTACTGGCCAATGAGTATTTTATTCATGAACTAATATGAGAAACCTATATTAATAACACAGAGAAGGACATCCCCATCAGAGTTGTAACTAAGAGGGTGGGAAAAAACCTATCCTTTGCTGGTTTTTAGAAGTAGAGTCACACTACAACTTTGTTTAGCTGCAAGATTAAAGATGTGCTTTCCATGTAGGAATAGGAACATGTTCTAGAATACTGTCATCATTTTGCTTAATATGTGAAGAAAAACAAAAGAAATAACATCTTAGAGGTGTTTCCATGGTGCCAACCTTAACACCCTGTCTTTGCCAAGGGATCTGCAGCAGAGCATCGCCAGAGAGCCCAGCGCCCCTTCCATCCCTCCTCCAGCATATCAGGCCTCACCAGCAGGGGGACATGCCACGGCTCCGCCAACTCCTGCTCCAAGAACCATGCCGGTGAGTGGTGAGCAGGCCAGGCCGCCTGCTGCATCCCTGCAACTGGCCGGGTCTCAAGGCTGCAGTGGAGGAACTGGTGGTCCCCACCTGTGGTTGGGTCCCAATCTTCTGATAGCGTCCAGTGTGTCACAGACGCAGCAGCACTCATGAGTTCTCACCCCCAGAAGCGTTTAGCCCAAGTCTTTAGCATGGACTTCCTTCCCCCAGTGAAGACAGGGCACGAGATGTACATTTGAGACTGTTTTCTAAAATACGTGGGAAGGCGGGAGGGAGTTGCAGGTGAGAACGAACAGTTCATTACAGACTTTGGCATGTGAACCTTGGTTTGATTTTGATTCACAAAGCAGCCGCGGGAGACCTTTCTTTCAGTGAGTAGGGAATCCTGGACTGGAGTGGATATTTGCCAGTTCTAGGGAGCAGCGTGATTGTCTGGTGACACGCTGAGGGCGAATGTCTGGAGGGCCACAGCTGTGAAACTGGCAGCTTCAGATGGTTCTGCAGAGGCAGAGGAAGGAGACAGGGCAGTGTTAACAGTTGCTTATTTCACCACTGCTTGTGCAACTGCGTGTTAGCTGAAAGTTTCCACAGCTTTAAAGCTTTTGTAAAGAGAATGTGGGCCTGGCAGTAGGTCCAGTGTTGTGTCTGAGTGTTGGTGGAGACAGCAGAGGCTCTTCAGAAGCGGGAGAGCAGCTTCCAGCCGCGTTCTGGACTAGTAAGCTTCTGTTCAGGGGTGGAGTTGAGGGGTGCTGGGTGGAATAGTCGGGTACCCGTGCTCTCCTTCCTTTCAGGCGGCAGTCTGAGAGCCACACTGCACATTCCGTGTCATCGCTTCTTTTCTCTTGCAGCCTGCGAAGCCCCAGCCTCCAGCCCGGCCTCCACCTCCGGTGCTTCCTGCAAACCGAGTCTCCCCTGCTGCGGCTGCTGCTCCCACAGGGGCAGGGGCTGCTTCACCAGCACCAACACAGACCCCTGGCTCTGCTCCCCCTCCACAGGCTCAAGGACCACCGTATCCTACCTATCCGGGATATCCTGGGTAAGGCAGTGACACCCTGTGTCACCAAGAATTGACTCATTTCTAGCTGTGATTAACACAGATCTTGTAAATTAGCCATGTTGTCATCCTGCCCAGAAATTAAAATCATGTTATAATTGCTTATGTGAGTCTAGGATATATATTTTTATGTTTTGCATCTTTCATTTTTGTAAACACATCTTCTGTGTGAAATTCAGTGCATGTCCCCTGGCTGCCTTTCTTTATACGAAGCCAGGATCATGAGGCCTTGCCTGTGTGTTTGTGCTTGGGAATCACAGTGTCTGGTAAACTGACAAGTGGAAACTTAGACAGTTATGTGATGTGTTTGAAGGCTAGTCTTCTTCGTGGGGATGTCTATTTACTTATTTGTCTGTTTACTTATTTTTGTGGTGGTGGGGACTGAACCCAGGTCCTTTGAAGAGCAGCCAGTGCTGGTAGCCAGTGAGTCATATCTCCAGCCCCGAATGGGAGCATGCTCAGAGAACTTCATTAAAATGAACAGTCTGCTTTTGTCCTTCCTTTAGCAATTGGATCAACATTGTTACTTTCTGGGCAGTACTGAAAGTCTGATCATCTTTGACTTAGTTAGTGGCAGGGATGCTTTTTCTCTGGGAACGGTTCTGCTGTCTCACTCTTCCTCCTCTAGAAGAAAGAAAAGCGCTTGTTGAAAACTGACTGTAGAGTAGTGACATTCACTCTGCAGCACTTGATTCACCAGCTCCGTGTTCTGTTTTCTTCTCACCATCAGGTATTGCCAAATGCCCATGCCCATGGGCTACAACCCCTACGCATATGGCCAGTACAACATGCCGTACACACCGGTGTACCACCAGAGCCCCGGACAGGCTCCGTACCCGGGACCCCAGCAGCCTACCTACCCCTTCCCTCAGCCCCCTCAGCAGTCTTACTACCCACAGCAGTAATGCTGCCACGTGCTGGCGGGTTCAGACCGAGGGACAGGACAGCAGCCGCCTCAGTGTTCCAAGCCATGTTCCGGTCACTCAAGCGGACTTTGCTCTACCATTGCCGTGGGTAATTTCTGTCTGTGGCTAAAAGCCGAAGCTGGGCCCCACTCCCACATTTGATCACACCCGTGAGATTTTGCTGCTGTTGCAGTATAAATATTAGGTGTAATAGCATTTGAAAAAAATTACAGTTCATAAAACGTTGAAAATGAGAAATTAAGCCTGCAAGTGAAATTAGCATACTTTATAAGATGCGGTTGGAACAAAGATGGCTTAAGTACTGATATTCAAGAAAAAGTTTTCTTTCTCTTTTGGTTTATTGATTTAGTTTCATTTCTATTATGATATTTTGCATAATCAAGGCATTGTAAATCTTATAATTTAAAAATAAATTACTTAAGACCAGTTGTCATTGCTATGTTTTGTCATTGACTCTCATTGCTGTCTTAAGTCCTTTCTGGTATTAGTCTCTCGTTTTGTCTGTTCACAGGTTAAATGTGCTGTGTTGAATGCAAGAGCAGAGCCGGTTTGCAGTCAGGGTCAAGGTTGCAGTATGAAAGCGCAGAGCTTAGCTCTACCTTCATCTGCATGTGCTGAACAGTAAGCTAATTTCCAAAAGCACATAATGTGGGAGACACAACTGTTACCAAAGATTCTCCAAATAAATATAAAATTTGTTTCATTGTTAGTTTTCCAGGAAAGTGGTGCAGGTTCTGGTGGCAGCTCATTTGCCCAGCCTTAATCTGGTTAAAGTAGGTGGCTGGCGTTGACAGTATGGTCTGATGTGGTAGAAAAGCCCCCTGTGCCTTTCTTTCTTTTTGTTTTTGGTTTTTACGAGACAGGGTTTCTCTGTATTGTTTTCGAGACAGGGTTTCTCTGTATTGTTTTCGAGGCTGCTCTGTAGACCAGGCTGGCCTTGAACTCAGAGATCCGCCTGCCTCTGCCTCCCGAGTGCTGGGATTAAAGGCATGCGCCACCACCGCCCGGCCTCCCCTGTGCCTTTCTTTCTCTTCCCTGGTCCCACCTGTACTTACCCTGTGATGTTTAATGCTCAGTGTCTGTGAACAGGTCTCAACCCTTCCTTTTAAAATTTCTTCTTATGAAAACAATTTTTTTTTTGTGGCTCCTGAGCTGAGGTTATTTTGTAATTGAGGGAGCAATTCAGCAGGACGGTTGCTGGGGACATGTGCCGAGTCTGGGGTAGGCTGCATCCTCACGAGCGCTCTGACAACGCTTAGTTGCTGTACAGGCCTCAGTGACAGTGAGGAGATGCACCCTGGACCAGAAGCCGTGCAGGAAGGACCTCAGGGTCTCGGTGGGCTCTGTCCGTGTGAGGCTTTCCAACATGTTAGGTGTGTGAGCAAACTCTGATCTGTTTGTTTTCTGAGTTCAATGCTGACCGTTTCTTGCATTATCATCTCATTTAAATGATACTGTCACACAGTCCACTGTTGGGTTCATTGACAATTTAGGCTGATATTTAAATGTAAGACTGAAGATACGATTGTAAAAGGGAGTAAACTGGTTTAAACAAATGTGTATTTTAAATCACCTTACTTTGTTGTATGCAGAAAACACAAAGATGTGCCACTTTCCCACAGATGACTATTACCTGGAATATGGACATTGACTTAATGTCTGATAGCTAAACCTTGGCAAAACTAATGGTTAAACATATCATTGCTCAGCTTCAATGCTTTGGATTACTCAGTGTATGAGGTGTTTTATTTGAGTCCTCTGTAAATGCATTTAATTTCTATATTCTCCCCACTTGAGTATCTTAATACTGACAAGACATCCCCTGAGTTAGGGAGTTCCCATATTGCTAAACTATACTTCTTACCGATGCAAAACAGCCACCCCACCCCCCCAAAAAAAAAGAAAAGAAAAAAAAGGCCTGAATATTCTCTTGGGGATGGGGGTGGAGGTCTAAAGGAAAGGTTGAGCTTATCAGAGAACCAAGGGGAGGAGGGGTCAGGCCAGCAGCCATTCCCTCACTGCACCGGCTATTGCTGTGGGGTCACAGAGGAAGGAGGGTCAGTGCGGGAGGGGAGACCCCAGGCTCTGGGGCCGCCCCTCTCGGTGGCCTCCTAGCTCAGCACCTTAGGGAAGCCTTTTGTGTGGCAACCCCCCTCTTGCCAAGACTCCCTCTTGCCAAGACTCCCTCTTGCCAGGTCTCGTCCTTTAAGTTGCTGAGGGTGTCCTACTGATCTGCAGTGCTAGTTTGCCTTTCTAAGCCTGTCTAGTTCGGCAGAGGCTGATGGGAAGCCTCTTTGTGTGCCTACTGTCCTTAGAAGATGAGGTGGTGGCCCTCACTGGGGTGGTTTGCCAACGTACCAGCCTGTGCTCGGTTTGCCGTGCTCTTCCGAGTGTACTAAGGGAGTTACTAGGCACGATGCCGTTTACTTGGAGGTAGAAGGTTCCATTCTGACTCAAGTATGTTACCCCACGTTTACGATTAGACTTTCTGTTGCTTCTTACATTAAGGTACCCACCCTCGGGTCATTTATGTTGGCTTCCTAAGTCTATTATGAAATGGTTTACCTGCCAGCTTCTGGAACTTTGCCGGGAAACCAGTGCGAAGCAGGGAAAAGTCATCCAACTTGGATTTCCCATCCTCGGATGGCTTGACCACTGAATGTGGGGTCAGTCTCGGAGCTAGAGAGCCATTGCTCTGCTTCTTGTTCTTGTCCTTCGTTGAGAAAACCAGTCACATGTCACTCAGTATACAGCAAGCAGTCTCTCTGAGACACTCCTGCACCCTTGCAATCCCAGTGTGGGCGTCACGGTTGTAGTCCCACCTCTGGCCCAACCAGCTACCCTTTTAGTCAGAACAGATTTTTTTCCATTGAGCTTTACAGTTCGCAAACATTCCTCTGTATACATTTCCTAATTTCATGAACAGGCTGAAATAGTAAGCAGGCCTCAGTTTGCCAATGGGAATTTTTAATCAGTGACTAGGGTATCTTGCAACCTTGCTCCAGCCCCATGGTGTGTCGTTCCTAAGGCTCGTGTAGTTGTTAGCTGACTCACACTGTAGAACAGGGCACAAGCTAGACCAAACCTTTGCAAGAGAAGTTAAAATGGCTGGTTTAAACACAGATTTAGAATTAAGTGGAAGAGCAAAGATGGAAAATTATATTTTTAACAAAAGAGAATATTCAGGCTTTATTTCTGGTATGAAGTTTATATTTTTAAAAAAAATATATCCTATATTATCACACCAGAGATTTTAGATTCCTTTCTGGTTATAAACATTGCTGGTAGTTGGATTATATTTTTATTGTATTCATTTCTCTTAGGGGGAAAATTGTAAAGAAACAAAAAGATTCCGGATGAATGTATCCTAGAAATAAAAGTTGAAAGATTCTTACTTCTGTGGAGTATGAATTCTTATTTAAATAAGTGTTTCTCCTTCAGCTTCATAGTTCCCACCGTTGCCTTGGCAAGCGGGGGTTGGGAAGTGACACACCCTCTGACCAAGGTGTGAGACTGCAAAAGGAAGCCTGGGCTTTTTCATAGCTCCCGGCTTGTGTTTGTTATGGGTGGTCAGCGGTTTGCACTGGTTAGCGGCTTGGCCACAGCTCTTTCAGACATGGGTTTTCTTCTAGAAATATTTTTTGGTCTAATTTTTGGAACAAGTCAACTAGGCTATTACAATAGTCATTTAATTGGAGAAGGGGTGGTGAAGCATGTTCCTCTTCCCTCCCCTTTTCATCAATGCATGTTAATTATATAAACTAATGCATGCAATTATACATTTCATACATGTATATTGTGGGCTTTGATCATACCCCCCATTACCTCCTTTTGTCCCCGTTACAGGGGTCAAATAGTTCTCCTTTCTCACGTCTACTTTTGTGTCTTTTTTAAAAATTATATTTTGCATATGAGAGAAAATGTGAATATTTCTCTTATTTCCCTGTAAATGACACAGTGTTGTTCTTTATGGCAGAATAAAGCTGTTGATCTGTTGATAAGCACCAATGCTCACTCCATTTGGCTATCTTGAATGTTGCCACAAGTATGTGTGTGTTCTGGCATCTCTTGACGTGTGCTTGGGTTTCTTGAGTGTATACCCAGAAATGGCATGGGAGGGTCATGTGGTAGTCCTGTTTTTATTTCATTTTTGCAATCGGACATTTATAGAAAATTGAGTGGAAAGCACAGGGAGTCTCCATGCGTCTCCACCCAGCTTCTATTAACAGTTCGCATTAGTGTTGTTCGTTGACCATGTGAATGAACCAATAATTTCACCCAGTAAAGTTCATAGTTCACATTAGAGTCCACTTTTGTCCTAAAAGATAGTCTTGCCATCATTATGTCTCCATCATTACAGCTCCATGCAGAAAAGATTTACAGTCCCCCCAAGTCCCTGTGTGTCAGCTACTCACCCCTCCCTCTTCAGCTCCCGCCAACCGTTGGCTTTTGCGCTGCCTTTTCCAGAATGTTGGAATTGGAGTCACACAGTGCGCAGTAGCCTTTCGAGGGTGATTCCTTCGTGTCTGTTTCTCTCATGCCTTTTCACGCTCAACAGCACAGTGCGAGCATTTTCCTGGGCAAACCACAGTCTAGCTACCCACTCATCTCCTGGGTGCTTTCAGTTCTTGAAGAGTAGAAGGAAACATTCTTGTACATGTGTGTTTGTGGCCATACAGTCTCAAGTGTTATCTGGGTGAAAAGTCTTAGTGCAACGTGTGGAAAGACCATAGATTGCTTTGAAAGAAACGGTCATTTTCCAACATCTCGTTACCATTTTGTATCCCACCAGCAATATAGAAGAAGTCCTGTTTTTCCCCGTCATTGTGAATTTAGAGTTGTCTTGTCTTCTGGGTGTTAGTCATTAGAATATGTGTTGGTATCATTGCTCTGTTTTCATAATTCACTGAAGATGCTGATGGTCCTCTCGTTTGCTAATATGTTGGTGAGATTGGGGGGGGATTTTATCCATTTTAAAAAGATTATTTTATGTGTGTGAGTGTTTTGCCTGCCTGCATGTGTGTGCCTATTGTCCATGGAGGCCAGAAGAGGGCATCAGATCTGGAACTGGAGTTAAGGCGCTGTTGGTGTTGTAAGGCGACGGCGGGTGAAGGGTCCTGAGGAGACCCCATGTGGCCCTAGGCTGTGGCCTTCAATGTAGCAGTGTCTTGCGGTGAACCTGTAACAGTGGCCACACCCCTTTGGACGTGGCTTCAGGCGGACAGAAGCAGAGAGAGGGAAGCTTGAGGGTCGTGCTTTCTCTTGGGTCAGCTGATAGGAAGGGCAGAGAAGCTCTCCCGAGGTTCTTTATTGTTATCTGTGTAAGTGTTCCCCAGTAAACACCCATTTGTCATTTATCTTGGGCCTAGTGAAGTCTCTATACCCTTGCCTTCACTTCAACACTCCCGGTTCTGATTTCCCTTCTTAGTTAAGGGGCTAGGATAGAAGTAGCTAGAACGGGATGTAATCCCCGCAAATTCAACTCTCATAGAGCAGAATGCTGTCCCCTCCCTCCTGCTGGGCACAGGATCCTGGAAGTAGATGTCATGAAAGCGTGTGTGTGTGTGTGTGTGTGTGTGTGTGTGTGTATGTGTGTGTGTTTATGTGTGTGTGTATGTGTGTGTGTTTATGTGTGTGTGTGTATGTGTGTGTGTTTATGTGTGTGTGTGTATGTGTGTGTGTATGTGTGTGTGTGTATGTGTGTGTATGTGTGTGTATATGTGTGTATGTGTGTATGTGTGTGTGTATGTGTGTGTGTATGTGTGTGTGTATGTGTGTGTGTATGTGTGTGTATGTGTGTGTATGTGTGTATGTGTGTGTGTATGTGTGTGTGTATGTGTGTGTGTGTGTGTAGGGGACTAGGACTGAGCAGCAGGAAGCTCTACCCCTCAGGCCAGCCCACACCACGCTTCCTGAGATTCGTTCATTATTTGCTTCCTTTCTTGATCCTGGCTCCCTTGGTGCACACTGGCAGTAAGCAGTATCTGTATTCACCTGTCCCTGACCTTTCTGGTCTGTGTTGCCCAGTGAGCTCAGTGTTCTCTCATGGAGCTACAGAGAGTTGTTGATTTTCAGTTTGCTTCTCTTGTTCCTCGTAAGAATGAAGTGAGGGACTGGAGAGGTGGCTCACCGCTCTTGCAGACCCGGGTTCAGTTCTCAGCATCCACGTGGTGGCTGCTCACAAGTTCCAGGGTACCTGACGCCCTCTGCTGGCGGTGGGCGCTGTACACATATGGTGTACTTTTTACGTACATGCAGGCAAAATGCTCATACTCATAAAAATAGATCTTACAAAATGAGTGACAGCTTCTAAGCTCTTCACATTCCAGAGGGGAGCCTAAAAGTCTAGATCCATCTTTTTTCTTGTGCTAGCATGTGATTTTTATGGGTGTGGGTCCGTATGTGGTGCATGTAGGTGAATGTGTGTCTTGGTCAGGGCTCCTATTGCTGTGGTGAACACCAGGACTAAAAGCAACTTGGGGAGGAGAGGGTGTATTTGCCTTACACTTACACATCTCTGTTCATCATCAAAGAAGTCAGGGCAGGAACCTGGAGGCAGGAGCTGATGCAGAGGCCACAGAGGATGCTGCTCCCTATGGCTTGCTCAGCCTGCTTTCTTATAGAACCCAGGACCACCAGCTCAGGGATGGCACCACCCAATGAACTGGGCCCTCCCCCATCAATCACCAATAAGAAAATGCTCTGTAGGTTTGCCTACAGCTGGACCCTACAGAGGCATATTCTTTCTCTCTCTCTCTCTCTCCTTCACTCCCTCTCTCTCTTCCTTCCATTTCGTAAAAGATTTAGTTATTTATTATATATACAGTGTTCTATTTACATGTTGCTTGCATACCAGAAGAGGGCACCGGATCTCATTATAGATGGCTGTGAGCCACCATGTGGTTGCTGGGAATTCAACTCAGGTCCTCTGCAAGAGCAGCCAGTGCTCTTAGCCTCTGAGTCATCTTTCTAGCCCCCAGAAATGTTTTCTTAATGAGGTTTCCCCCTCTCAGATGACTGTAGCTTGTGTCAAGTTAACATAAAACTAGCAGCATAGTGTGTTGAGTCCACTTACCTGTGTGCTTCTGCATGGCCGGAGGTCAATGCTGGGCATTTCCCTCTTTTGCTCTCCATCTCATTGAATTGTGATTACTTTTAAATTTTGTTTTTGTCTTACATGCATGGGTGTTTTGCCTGCATGCATGTCTATGTACCATGCACACACAGTGCCTGAGGAAGCCAGAGGACCTTATCAGATCTCTTGGAACTGCAGCTACAGATGCTGTGAGCCACTATGCGCCTGCTAGGAACTGAACCTGAGACATCTAACTCATTTTCAGATGTGGCTATGGTATCATGTGATCTGAGACAATCTATTGATCTCACATTTTCTCCATAGCCGCTGGCTGCTTTGTTTAATTAATGCCGAGGTAGCCACCGTGCTTCCCATAATAGTGACTTGCTTAGTGACTGTGGTCTTTGTCCCATGGAACCCATGAAGGTGGAGCCACTCAGAACCACACTCTGCAGAGGGCACAGCTCGGCTGAGGTGAGCAGCTTGTCCGAGGTTGCATGGCTTCCGAGGATCCGAGCTGGGCGTCAGTTGCTTCCAACCTTCCGTGATGCTGCCCCGATCCTGCAGTCAACAGGCAGCGAGTCAGCAGCAATGTGTGAGTCTCACCCACTTCGCCTCACTTGTAGGAGTGGAAGGAACACGGCCCAGCGATGACAGTGTCTGAGACTGGGATGTGGTGAGGCTGGGCTTTCAGTATGATTGCGTCAAAGTTTCTCTTTCCCTAGAGATGGTTTATAGAAAGGGTTTTGTCCCATCCATCCGTCCGTCCATCCATCCATTCATCCATCTCACTCACTCTCACACTCACTCTCACACTCACTCTCACACTCACTCACACTCTCACACTCACTCTCACACTCACTCACACTCTCACACTCACTCTCACACTCACTCACTCTCACACTCACTCTCACACTCACTCTCACACTCACACTCTCACACTCACTCTCACACTCACTCTCACACTCACTCACTCACTCACACTCACTCACTCACACTCACTCACTCACTCACACTCTCTCACTCACACTCACTCATGCTCATTCACTCACCCAAGGTATTGAAAGTCAGCCTTTCCAGATTCCAGGATGCTTTGGTACATGCTGAACATATGAATCCACACTGATTACATATGAATACACACTGAGGACATGTGAATCCACACTGAGAACATGTGAACACACACTGAGGACATGTGAACACACACTGAGGACATGTGAATACACACCGAGGACATGTGAATACACACTGAGGACATGTGAATACACACTGAGAACATGTGAATACACACTGAGGACATGTGAACACACACTGAGGAC